ATTTATCCCAAATTATACTTAGAAGTGTTTCACAATTTCACAAGGTTCAGGCTGGTGTGGTAAAAAAACTCAAATGGCCTATCTTAGAAAGCACAAACTGGGCAAAATAAATGAACCTACAAGTTTGCCCAGCCACCCTACAGATCTAGAAATTTGCCCAATCGTGCTTCTGTCACAGTAGGGAATTGAGTTGAAAGGCCTACCTTTTGTTAGCATTCTCCATTAAATTCTTGACCATAAATTTGAATTCTCTAATTTTTGGAGCAAGGTGAGAACAGCTTGCAAGAAGAGATAAGGGAGCCACTTATACTAGAAGACAAGACTCGAGCTGAGAAGAAGATGGCTATGGTCCAAAGATCAGAGCCACAAAAGTAGTTCTACGGAGCATGATTGGATGGTTACCTTAGTACCTTTGTCACAGTGCGTGGTTCTTATGCATTGGAACTGTGTAAGTGCCAATCATTTAATCAAACTTCAATTCATGTTTCACTAAAGCTGAAAGAAACAGTTGGAGACATTACAAACCAAAGCACAAATTCAGAACAAGTTTCTTAGAAAAGTAGAATTTTTGTTGCAATTCTGAGGTGTCATAATTTGTTGGTTTTCAGGCAGGTTATTTCATCACCTACTTAATCGGCCATCACGGACAATGTCGATCTATCACTAGCAGAGGTTTGTTAAACATTAATTTTCCTTCCTGTGAAAGAGGTTATCCTGGACTGTTTCCATTATTCACAAAATCCTATCAGAAAAACCATAAATTACAAAGGCTAATGAAACAATATTCATAGATGAGGATGATAAATGGACATATCTAGTTTCTGTTCATTCAAATAAGTCAACACAAGGCAAATTTGACTGCTCAACTTTGAATATTAAGTTAACATTAGTTTAATTTTATAATCAATAACTTCAATAATTGCATATCTAATCTCACAGGATTTCCTTCCAGCACTGGAACTATAATCTACGCATGTATTCAGGTTATCAACGTTCACTCCCCCAGTTCCCTGGAGATCCATATGGGTTAAAAAAATCTCTCTGAAGTGTCAACTATTGAATTATATAAAAACTTCAAAACACATAAATCTCATAACATACACCAATAATTGAGTGAAATGAAAGACCAAAAAATTTAAAAACTTATTCAAACAGACTTAAAACATGAAATAAATACACAAATAAAATAAATGCATCAATCAGAAATGGTAGAAATGAACAATTCAAAATTCAGTGGAAGTGTGAGAATACACTCCTAACCTTGAATGCAGCCGAATCCACAGACCATAGAAGAGCATAATCCACTCGCACCTCTGTCAGATCATCACCACAATTATATGATCATATTTGTTTTAAGGATATATGATTATAATTTTGGATGAAATTGTGACAAATTTGATAAATGAAATGTTGAAATCACAGAATGCGTCCAAAATAAACTTCAGACCAAAAGGCAAATCAAGAGGTTGCTGTGACTTGGACGCAACAGACAACGCCAAATGGGTACAGATAGAGAGAGAAAGAGAGAGAGCAACAAATTGAAGCTTTAAATTACAATTACATTGAAGTGAACGCCAAACAGAATTGCCGCACACGGCTCTGCCTCCACTCCATCCATAAATGAACCAGATTTTTCAGCAAATTGTACAATAAATGAAGATTATTGATGAATATCATTTTCCTAATATCTAGTCACAAATAGTAATCCTCTACACACAAAACCAAACCAAACCAAACCAAACGAAGCCTTAAGTCCCATAAAATGGGGTCGGCTACATGAATCCTTCTTCTCCACGCGGCCCTATCAAAAGCCATTTCATTAGTCAAATTAAGTAGATTCATATCTCTATTTATAACGCTAGTCAACGTTAATCTAGGCCTACCCCGTCCCCTAATACTTCCATCTACCGTTACAAGCATCGCATCTCTTCACTACTGCCTTTGTTGGTCTCCGTTGAATATGACCAAACTATCTCAAACGATTCTCTCTCAACTTATCTTTTATCGGTGCTACTCCTACCCATTCCCGAATACACTCATTCCTAATCCTGTCCTGTCTAGTCTTACCACACATCCACCTTAGCATCCTCATCTCAGCCACACTCATCTTATTACATGTTGTTTCTTAGTTGCCCAACACTCCGTCCCATACAACATAGCTGGTCTAATAGCCGTTCTATAAAACTTACCTTTTAGTCTAGTGGGTATTCGTTTATCGCACAATACCCCAGACGCACTTCTCCACTTACACCATCCCGCCTTAATCCTATGGGCCACATCTGCATCAATCTCTCCCGTTGTTGTGATAATCAACCCTAAATAACGAAAATGTTCACTCTTAGGCAGTTCTTGGTTCTCAATCTTCACTTCTCCTCTGCTTTCATTGTTACTGTTACTAAATTTACACTCCATGTACTCTGTCTTAGTTCTGCTTATTCGAAACCTTTAGATTCAAGAGCTTTTCTCCAGATCTCCAACTTTGTGTTAACTCCTTCTCTAGTCTCATCCACTAACACAATATCGTCTGCAAAAAGATACACCATGGCACGTCATCCTGAATATTTATCGTCAACTCGTCCATAACTAAAGCAAAAAGATAAGGACTTAAGGTAGATCCTTGGTGTAACCCTACAGTGATAGGAAATTCATTTGTTTCTCCAGCTGGCGATCTAATAGTGGTCACCACCCCTTCATACATGTCCCTAATCACGTCAATGTAGCCTTTTGTCACCCTTTCTTCTCTAACGCCCACCATATTATTTATCTCGGGCACTCTATCATATGCTTTCTCAAGGTCGATAAACACCATATGAATGTCTCTTTTCTTTTCTTTATACTTTTCTATTACTCTCCCAAAAGATAGATCGCTTCCATTGTTGACCTACCAGGCATAAACCCAAATTGATTCTCTGACACCTCTGTTATGTCTCGCAATCGATGTTCCATCACCCTCTCCCACACTTTCATTATATGACACATTAGCTTAATTCCTCTATAGTTGTTACAATTCTGACATCACCTTTATTCTTATAGATTGGTACTAAAATACTCTTCCTCCACTCATCTGGCATGTTCCTAGTCAACAAAATTTTGCTAAACAACCTAGTCAACCAAGCAACTCCCTTTTTACCCAAACACTTCCAAGCTTCAAATGGGATATCATCAGGTCCTAAAGCCTTATTTGATTTCATCTTCTTAAGTGCATTCTCACTTCAAAATTTCTAATCCTGCGATAGAACCTATAGTCTTGGTTTATCGTATTACTGATTATTTCTTCCCCTATTGTCGTACTTCCATGTCTCATTTAACAGTTTCTCAAAATAATTCTTCATCTTCCTTAATCTCATCGTCCTTCACCAATACCTTAGAATCCTCACTCTGATGCACTTTACTTGATTAAAATATCTTGTTTCCTCTCCGTATCTTAGCAAGTTGGTATACCCTCTTCTCTCCCTCCTTACTATCTAGTCTAGTGTATAGGTCATCATAAACTTTCAACTTAATCTCTCTCACTTCTTCTTGACCTCCTTATTGCCAATCTATAGCTCTTAAGGTTTTCCTCATTCTATCCTTCTGCCGCTTTTTAAAGCACTCTTTTTTTGCCTTAACTACCGCTTGGACCTCTTCCCTCCACCACCAAGTTTCCCTAAAGCTGGGTCCCGTTCCTTTCGACTCTCCAAGCCTTCCCTTGAGATTCTCCTCATACAATTGGCCATCGAATCCACATAGTGTTAGCATCACCTTCTAAATCCCAAGTACCTTCCTTATCCATTCGATTCTTAAATATTTCTAGTTTATCCCCTTTTAAGTCCCACCATCTCTCCTACGACGCCCACCATCCTTCCTAGCTTGGTATTGCCTCTAAAACATAAATCTAGTATCAAAATCCTATGTTGAGAGACCAGACTCTCTCCAGGAATCACCTTACAATCATTGCATTTTAGGCAGTCTACTTTTCTCACTAAGAAATAATCTATTGTGCTCTTAACTAATCCACTCTTAAAGGTTATCAAATGCTCCTCCCTCTTCTTATACATAGTATTGCCACCACCAGGTCAGAAGCCAACGCAAAATCTAAGATTCTCTCTCCAGCCTCATTTTTGTCACCAAAACCGTATCCACCATGCACCCTTTCATAACCTACTTTATCTATGCCCACATGCCATTAAAATCTCCACCTATAACCAGGTTCTCTCCTACGGGTATCTCCTGTAAGATCTCATCCATGTGCTCCTAAAAATCCCTCTTAGTCTGATCATCTAACCCTACTTGAGGGCGTAAGCGCTAATAATGTTCACTATATTCCCTCCAATAACTATTTAACTAGCATAATCCTATCTCTTTCCTAATGACCGCCACCACACTTTCCACAAGACCCTTGGCAATTATGATTCCTACCCCATTCCTGCGTCTATCCTTACCACTTATAAAGTTTAAAACCAGTCCGGTATTCTCAATTTCCCTAGCTTTCTCTCCCGTCCACTTAGTTTCTTGTATGCAAGCTATACTAACTCTCCTCCTAATCATAACATCTACCAATTCTATCGTCTTACCAGTTAAGGTTCCTATGTTCCAAGTGGCTATCCTAAACCTATAGTCTTGGACTAGCTTCTTTACCCGCGCTCGTCCAGAAAAACGCGGAAACCTTTGCCCATTTTTCACCGCACCCAGGCGTCGATGCGGCGCCCCTTGCTCACTTTTCGAAACACCCGGAGGCAGGCGCAACGCGTCACTTGAGGGGAATGACCTAGCATTTAAACGATTCAAAGTAGGATTCATTTTCATAAGGGATCCGAGCGGCTTTTTTTACGTGTTGGCTGTCGACTACCTAACACACAAGAAGCATGAACATGAAATAGGAAAACTGGAGTGAAATTTAATCGAGATTCCATCAACAAATTATTATACAACAAATTGCTCAAACAACGAAATTCTTAAATAAAATGCACTAGTTTCATTATCTGACCAAACTCGACGGGAAGGAAGAGTTTGAGAGAGAGAGAAAGAGAATATGAAACTGAGAGAGAGAGAGAGAGAGAAAGAGAGAGAGAGAAAGAAACGGTGGTGCTCACCTTAGTAGATGATGGTGCTCGCTCCCCTCGCCAGTGCAGATGGTGGAGGCGGTGGAGCTTCAAAATCTCAAAATCGAAATTGCCAATCGCTCTGAGATTGGATCGGAGATGAATCACCAATCGCTCTGAGATTAGATCAAATGGGGCTGAAGAAGGTTGATTCGATCGATTCAGAGAGATTAGGGTTTTAGAGAGGGTTGAGAGCCAGAGAGTGAGTGAGAGAGTAACGAGTGAGAGAGCCAAAAATTTTGGAAATTTTTTTTAATCAAACTAAATAAATTTTTCAAAACTTGTTTGGTTTACAAATTTTTCAAATAAATCTCTCTCATATACATCAAATCAATCACTTTTTTCAAAATTCTCTCTCAAAATAATTTTTCAAAACATATTTTGAAAAAAATCAAACCAAACAAATTTTGGTACTTTTTATCTCAAAACATGTTTCTCAAATACAAACCAAACAAGGCCATTGTTTTTCAGTTTTCTGTTTTAGATATTGTGGGTGTTTGGGAAGTGAGTTTTTATGTGAGTTTTTTAGTTGTAAGATATTATTGAGAAATTTTTTTGGTGTTTGAAAAGATAGTTGGTTTTTTTTGTGGTTAAATTTGATATTTGTGAGAGAAAAAATAAAATGATTATGGAGTTGAATGTGATATTTTATTTGGATTTGTTTTTTTTAGTTTTGCAAAAAGTTTGCCTTTTAGTGGAAGGAAAATGTTTGGTAGCCACAAATTCTGTGGCTCAAATGGCTCGAAAATGTCAAAACGACGTCGTTTTGGCATTTTTCAGAGTTGCTTTGTATCCAAAACGACGTCGTTTTGGCATTTTCAAGCCATTTGAATCACAGAATTTGTGGTCACCAATCATTACCCTTCTCTGTAATAATGCGGGGAAAAAAAAAAAAAAAAAAAAAAAAACCAACACACAAACTTCTCAAACACCACCAATGGTAAGTTTTTAAATATTTTAAATAATTTTTTTACTTTTTAAATTCAAATAATTTACATATATTAAAAAGAAAAATATTTTTAAATTTTTTAAAAAAATCAGTAAATTCAAAAAATATAAAATTTAATACATTTTATATATATTATATTTTATTAAATTTTTTTACAAATATTCTATTTTTTAGTTGTACTCATATTAGGCACATTTAAAAAGTAAAAAATAAATAAATTGTTAAAAGAAGGGAAAATATCAAATCAAAGTAATTTAAAAAAAAATAATTACAAATTAGTGAGTAGTTATATAAATATCAATCACTAAAATTATAAACTTTTCAATCAATATGTAATTTTTTTCCCCAAAATCCAACTGGGTGCAATTATCCCTTAAAAGAAACACTAAATTATAAAATAATATATAAATTATTTTTTACATTGTCCTCAATTACAAAAATTTAAAGTAAGAAGCTCAGTTGGAAATTGTTAGCTTTTTTAAATAAAAAAAAAATCAGATTGAAATTTTTTTTAAAAAAAGTTTTGATGACATGCTTATACATGCCGTGTAAAGTTGTAATATTTTACAACATGAAATGTATGTTGTCTTAAGTACAAATATTTTATGACATATTTTTGTATGCAGTGAAAACATACATTTTTCTCGGCATGCTTTTGTATGCCATAAAAAAATTCGGATTGAATTTATTTTTATTTATTTTTTCAGAAGTTTTAACGACATATTAATGCATGCCGTGTAAAGTTGTATATTTTACAATATGAAATGTATGTCGTCATAAGTGTAAATATTTTACAACATATTTTTGTAAGTCGTAAAAACATACATTTTTTATGACATACTTTTATATATTATAAATATATGAATCAACGACTTATATGGTATGTATGCTGTTGTTGACAAAACATTAATGACCTATATAAAAAAAAAAAAAGCCGTAGAATGTACTAACTACGACATGCATTTAATGCATGTCATAAACACGATGCCGTAAATAGTTAATTTTGTTGTAGTGTCTTGTAGTGATTTGGTGAGATGTATAAATGAAAAAAATAATATTGTTATTTATTTTTTATTAAAATATATATTTACCTTTATTTATTCCAATTTCTACTCATTATTTATTTTAATTTTACTCGTTTTAATCTTAGTAAAAAAAAAAAAGTTAATGTAATTATGTCAAACTTCTAAAATTAACTATATTTTCTTAAACTCAAGGAAAACAAGTATAATTTACTATGCCTCCGTTTGGGAAGTGGATTGATTTTTTGACTTTTTGACTTTTTTGACTTTTTTAGCCTGGGCTAAAAAGCTTGGTTTGGGAAGGACTTTTTGACTTTTTTTGTCTGGGCTAAAAAGCTTTTGACTTTTTGACGTTTTTTGCCTGGGCTAAAAAGCTTGGTTTGGAAAGGACTTTTTGACTTTTTGACTTTTTTTGTGAGAGAATAGTGTAATGATTATGGATTGGATGTGATGTTTTGTTTGTTGCGGCTAAAATAACCTATTTTTTGTTTTGTGACTAAAATAGCCCCAAACCTTTGTTTATTCCAATTTCTACTCATTATTTATTTAATTTTACTCGTTTTAATTTTAGTAAAAAAAAAAGTTAATGTAATTATGTCAAACTTCTAAAATTAACTATATTTCCTTAAACTCAAGGAAAACGAGTATAATTTACTTTTTTTTTTCTATGCATAACTTACAATAATCATGCAAAATGATACTCAATCTATTTAAAATGGCGAGTCCATATATGAAATTCCTTTGCCAATTCATCTTCGAAACCTACAATCTTGATTTAAAAATAAATAAATTACGTTGATCACGAATGAAATTAAAAAAATACAATTTAATATAATTATATTAATCTTTTGTTTTACTAAGGCCAAATTGATCATATTTTTTAGTGTAAAAAGTATGACAAAAATATTTTTTAACAATACTAACTAATGATTGATAAAAATGAGACAAAATATTTATATAGATTAAAATCTTAAAAGAGTACATTCTAATTTAAGAAGAAAAAACACAAAAAGAAAACAAAAAACAAAAACATAACTTTATCACCACAAGACTTTAAATATAAGGATAAATTGCAGTAAATTCTCTCAAATTATGACTCATTTATATTTTGCCCCTTAAATTTCAAAACTCAACAGTTAACCTCTCAAAATATTATCTTATTATAGTTAACCCTTTTTGTTAGTATTCTGTTTAGAATTATGGAAAATCAGATTATGTATAACATACATAACACATTTATTAAATTTTGAAGGCAATAATGCCCTTATTTGGTGATCATGTTTGCACTTTGCTACTAAAATAAGAGAGAAAAAGTACACATAAAATCACCAGATATAAGTATTATTATCCTAAAATAATTAATAATGGGTATTGTTGACCTAAAAATTCAATAAATGTGTCATGTGCTTTACTCAGGAAGTGGGGACGTTGCTGCGCAGCCCGCGCAGCAGCGTCTGCCGTGCGGTGATTTGGGCCCATTTTGGGGCATATTTTGATAATCCGAACCGTTCACATTTTAGAATATGCCAAATCGAACATGCCTGCAAAAAATCAAGTTAATCGGATATCGTTTACCCATTCATCCACTCACATTTGTATCTATAAAAATAAACACAAATGTATTTTAACTTGATTAAAATGAATACAAATGTGAGTGGATGAATAGGTAAACGATATCCGATTAACTTGATTTTTTGCAGGCATGTTTTACTTTATGTATTCTAAAATGTGAACGGTTTGGATTATCAAAATAGGTCCCGAAATAGGCCCAAATTGCGCACAGTAGACGCTGCTGCGCGGGCTGCACAGCAACGTTCCCAGATTTGATTTTTTTTGATAAAATTATAACAAAAAGGGTTAATTGTAATAAGATAATATTTTGAGTGGTTTAATTGCTGAGTTTTGAAGTTTAGTAGATAAAGTGAAAATGAGTCATAATTTAAGGGAATTTTCCTAAATATAAAAGCTTTTGATGAAACCTCCTATAATGTCACAAAAAAATAATAAAAATAAAGTTTTATTATTATTATTATTATTTTATTTAGATAGCTGTTTCAAAGTGAAAACTGTATTTGAATACTATTTGCTTGCAAGCTCCACGAAATATATTCATTTTGTACTTTGTACAGTGTGTATTGTTTGGTGAGTCCAAAAGATTAAACTTGAAGCATCTTTCTACATTGAAACTTCAACGCATGGACATTTGGTCTTCTCAAATATTTCCCCTTTTTAATTTAATTTAATTTATTACATTTTTATATCTTCAGTTAGATGACAAGATATTATTCTCGGTGATCCATTTCTGATAAATTAGTAGGAATCAGTCACGTGTATTCATATAGGTACGTTGTAATACAGAAAGACATAAAAAAAATGATGACATGTTGTAATGTTATATACATACTAATTTGTCAGTAATTTTTTTTTCCTCTAAAGATAAATGTAGCAAAATCTACATTAATAAAAAAATGTAGAACGTTGCCATTATATTTAATGATAAAAAAAATAGATAACGATTCTCTTCCATTGTTTCTTACAGTGAGTGATGTTAATCTAATGACTCAAATTTAAGATTAAAATAACACTAATATTAAGCACCTTACAATAATGCAATTTTACTTCAACTTTAAACATAAACAGCTGGATAATAAGTGTAAGGCCATTCTAGGGAGATCTATTGCAAAGAATCTAAATCCCAAAAGAAAAAATAGAAAGAAATCTATTGATGTATAACCTTTTCTATATTTTTATTTATTTATTGATAAGCAAAAGTAAGTGATTAGTAGTTAAGTTAGTACCTCAGTAGAGTTAACACTCACACCCATGCACATTATAAGAAAATCTTACCCTTCCACATTCCAGTGGAACCCAAGGTCTCTGTCTTAAGAGAGACTTGGTGCCAAAGGGCTAGCTAACTAGGTTAGAGCCCTTTGATTTTCTATATTTTTATTTTGTCAACAGAGATAAAATGAATAACCACACGTTTGTGCATATTCCCAAATAAATTTGAACGAGTATAGTCCAGGTCTACCTCAAGTTAATTACCAAACACATTCCTGCGCGTAATTCAGAAAAATCGAACTCATTGCGACTGAGCCAAACAAATTATTGTTCTATTTTTGACTCAACCTACTTATCCAATTGTTGAATGGGTTGAATCATCCAAGCAGCCTCCTTCTTGAATACATGAGACGGTCATTTTGACAAGAATCTATTAACCAAACAGTCATGCATTGAGACTAGACTTACCAAACAGTCAATGCAACCAAACACAGTGTACCATGGTACCTCTCAAGCACACTATATAAAGCATGCAGCACAAGCACGATGAGTATAACTTTCGTATAAACAAACTGATATACAAATTGGTTTAGAGAGAAAAATAGAAACAAGATGGACACCAATAGCAACATTGCTAAAAGATGGAGGGTTCTAAGTGGTGAACAAAACTGGAAGGGCCTATCGGACCCTCTAGACATTGATCTCCGGCGGTACATCATTCACTATGGAGAAATGACTCAAGTAACTTACGACAACTTCATCTCTGATAAGTTGTCAAAATATGCAGGAAGCAGCCGGTATGCAAAGACGGACCTCTTTGCTAAACTGGGTCTAGATCCGTTGATGTATCGCGTGACTAAATATTTGTATGCAACATCGTCAACGCAAGTCCCCGATGCATTCATCTTGAAGTCTCTATCAAGGGAGGCATGGAGCAAAGAATCGAATTGGATGGGATATGTCGCTGTGGCCACAGACGAAGGGATGGCTAAGCTGGGGAGGAGAGACATTGTGGTTGCCTGGAGAGGAACACACCAGGCCTTGGAATGGGTTAATGATTTGCAAATTCTTCTCGTTTCACCTTCAAAGATACTTGGAGAGCAAGATGATGATACTAAGGTGCATCAGGGATTTTACTCTATCTACACTTCAAATGATCCAAGATCACCATTCACCAAGACTAGTGCTAGAGACCAGGTAATTTTGATAAACTATTTACTATATAAGCTTATACTTCTGCAGTAAGGAAAAACATACCCAACCTAAAAAAGTTGATCAAAAAATGAATCATATAAAGTCTCAAACTTTGTGTGATGTGAGCACACTGCGAAGACATCTAGTGCACAGCACTTCATTTTTCAGATAACTTTTTCGGGCTTCCTAACATTGTAGTTTAAGAAAAGATAGTACATAATAATTTCTTAATTTGCAGAACAATGCCAAAACTAATATTGTTGTTTCATCATTTATAATATATTTTAGGTTCTTGAAGAGGTCAGAAGGCTTGTTGAGGAATACCAAAATGAGGAAATCAGCATAACTGTAGTTGGTCACAGTTTGGGTGCAGCAATTGCAACCCTAAATGCATTTGACATAGCTGCCAACGGATTGAACATTCCTAGTAACCAACCAGACAGGGCGTGTCCTGTGACTGCCTTTGTGTTTGCTAGCCCAAGAGTTGGTGATTCAGACTTCAAAAAGGTCTTGTCTGGGCTAAAAAATCTCCGTGTTCTACGTGTTCGTAATGCCCTAGATATTGTTCCAAAGGTTCCATTCATAGGCTACAAAAACGTGGGTGAAAAATTAGCAATTGACACTACGAACTCCATCCTTTAGCAATGTTGCTATTGGTGTCCATATTGTTTTATTTTTTTTTCTCTCTAAACAATATGTGTATCAGTTTGTTTGTATGAAAAAGAAGATGATCTCTCAATCTTTACTAAGGCTGAGAAAATTATGAAAGCTTAAGAAGATGATCTCTCAATCTTTACTAAGGCTGAGAAAATTATGAAAGCTTAAGAAGATGATCTCTCAATCTTTACTAAGGCTGAGAAAATTATGAAAGCTTAAGAAGATGATCTCTCAATCTTTACTAAGGCTGAGAAAATTATGAAAGCTTAAGAAGATGATCTCTCAATCTTTACTAAGGCTGAGAAAATTATGAAAGCTTAAACTCTAGTATGTAATTGAAGTTGTTTCTATGCTCTTAAGTAAATGTTTCCTTAAATTAAGTTTTATTAACCTAGTTATGAGTGTATGTTGGAATCCTGTTTAGTGGTTTAAGTCTTGGTTTTGATATTGTTGTCAAGATTTCCTGAGGTTTGCTTGTCGCTCTTTAGGTCTTTGTCTTGAGCTATCTTGCATACTTAGTTCTTTTTTCTTTTTTTCTTTTTTGTGGTAATAAATCTCACTTACCCCAAAGAAAAAAGTTGGTGGTGGGTATGTTACATTCATCCAATGGACATGATCGTATTTAACGAATCATATCTGTTTGGTGTTGTGTTTTGCTTTTTATTTTCTTTTTTTTATTTTGAAAACACAAAAAACTTATTTGGCAAACTTTTTTTTGTGAAATTTCCTCTATCATACTTATCGTCGAGCAAAAGTGCTACCTCCATTTTAATTAGCAATTTAGGCATGCAGGGCACTTGTATGAAATACATGTAACTGAACTTCATTAAGGACATCCAAGTATTGCATCCCATATATATATATATATATATATATGTGTGTGTGTGTGTGTGTTTTTGGTGCAAATAAAAGTTTATTGATGCAGAACAATGTAGTAAAATTCATGGGATGTTAAAATTTAATTTAAGAACATCATGCATTTCGCTACACGTAAGGGGGAGGGGAATGCAAAGTCATGCCTAGGCAGGGGAGGAATGCCCGGTCATTAGGCTAGTTGAAAAAGTGACCTCTAAAATGGAGAATTTATTTTTTTTAAACTAAAATTTTAAGAAAATTTAAATTCAAATTGTTGTTGGAGAGATGTTCTTAGTCACGAACTAAACGATGCGAAATTGGCCATCACAGATAGTTTTGCCAGTGGACTACTTGTTGTCGCAACTTTTTGCGAAGTTAATTTCAGTTTTTAGAGACGGAGTTTAGTTGTAAGTAATTAGACCCAAAAAAGTATTTTTAGAGACAAATACAACTTATTTTCACTTAAAGTAACAATTGCAATGATGTTTAGGACGTGTGATCTTTTGGACTTTGCAAAATTTACAATAATATTTGACCCAATGCTACTTTATCTATTTCAAATGCTGGCTTCATATTTATTCTATTATGTGAAATTGTTACTATCTAATTTAAAAGTTTAGTGATTAGAGAAATGAAAATTTTATTACCTATTCTATTATTAAAAGGGAACATTGATTTTGGCGTCATGAAGCTTTTGCTTATATATATTGAAAAAAAATAAATACACTTACACGTCTCAATTGCCCTACACGTTTTGTTCTTACACTTGCACGTCTCAACTGCCCTCACTTTAACTGCCAATTATATATTTTTTACTTCATCCCTCACGTTTGTTCTCTCACTTTTCGTTTCATCCCTTTGCACAAACTTTTCAACGAATTTCCAATCTCTTTGCTTCATCCCTTTGCACAAACTTTTCAACAGATTTTCAATCTCACTATCAACGATTCCGCATCGGTGAATTCAATTCAATGAATTTGTCTACCAGATTCCAATCTCTTTGCTTTATCCCTTTGCACAAACTTTTCAATGGATTTCCAATCTCTCTTTCAATTTAAGCACGTGTTGCTGTCTCTCCATCCCTCTCTTTCATGGGCTCTCTTATCTTTTGATGAGAGAAAAATCTTTTTCATGGACCCGAGCGGTGGCGTCGCCGCTAGATTCCGCATTCCTCCTCCTCAACGAAGATGAGCAAAATCTTTTTCATGAACCCGAGCGGTGGCGCCGCCGCCAGATTCCGCATCCAGAGAACCACTTCCTCCTCCTCAACGAAGACAAAATTTTCTGGACCGGCGACTTCGCCGACCACAACCGTTCCTCCACCTTGCATTCATCCTTGCTGCATTGCCTCTGGTAACGGAATCGGATTAGACTCGCTCTGTTTTCAACCACAAGGCTTCGACGTCGGTCTCTTCGTCGACGTCTTCGACTTCGTCGTCGTCGAGGATGATTCCGAAGAAATCGCCTCTGGATCAGAATAGTCTGTTTTCAAACAAACAAGAATAATATTTTGTGTGTGTATGTATTTTTTATTTTTAAAAATCAATGTTCTTAATTTTGTATTTGTGTGTTTATAATTTATGTTTTGAAAAAATTGGTTTGTTTGGATGGTTAATTTTGTGTGTGTGTCTTTAAAAAAAATAAAAATAAAAATATTATGTTTTCAATAAAATTCGTTTGTTTGTTTGCTTAATTTTATGTCTTCAAATTTAATACCAAGTGTTACATTGTACATAATTATTCATATGATTTATATGTATATTATTAGAAAAAATAATATCAAATTCATATTATAATTCTAAACGAATTTGCACACGCATCGCGTGTGCGCGGTTGCTAGTTTATTAAAAGGGGAGGCACACATATTGTGTGCAAAGAAAAAATACTTGTAACCACTTTGTAATTGAAGAGATGTGATCTTTTTATATAAAAAAAAAAATTGAATTCATTGAAAATCTTGTTCTAAAAGTGGAGTTAATAGTCGAGGTATTTATAGGTCAGTTTGGTGTTAAATTTGGCACTATGCAATTTGATTGGTCTCAAATTTTTAAATTCAGAACCAAACCAATCATGTACTAGAACTAACCCAAACCAACCTAATGTAACTTCGGTTGGTTCGGTTTAAAACCAAGTTCCATCTATCTATCTATCTATCTATTCTATTATTAAAAGGGAACAGTGATTTTGGTGTCATGAAGCCACTTCTCAAATTTTTTTTCTAATTTTCCCTAAAATGACCTTAATTTCTTACACTTACATCAGTTTTAATTTGGGGTAAAATCGTAAATTGAAAAAACCAATTCACTTTCCCACTTCCCACGTCTCCAGTCCTCAGGCAGTTATAGCATCATTGCATTTCCCATTTTGTTCTGAATTCACTGAATATTCTTAATAATTGCACTGTATTTTGCAAAAAAAATTCTGCAACTTCATAAAAAATTCTGCAACTTCATAAGACTTGAAAGCCGCCTGTGGATATATGATTGGTTGTTTCTTTCTATTTGGTAAGTTCTCTTATGTATGAATGTGTATCTTCACTGTATTTGGTATCTTAATTGTATCTTCGCTGTAGCTCTCTTCCCCTGTATGAAGGTTTAATCCATTTTCAATCTATAAATGTTAGGTAATGTTGATAATGCCAATATTACCACAATGCAACACACCATGACTAATAAATTACATCATTGCATTTTCCATTTTGTTCTGAATTCACTGAAATATTCTTAATAACTGCACTGTATTTTGTAAAAAAAAAAAAAATCTGATCTGCAAATGGCTTCTCTGCAAATGGACAAATAGAGAGAGAGACACGTTTTGAGATGGTGGTGAATGATTATGGGTTCTATTGACAGATTAAAAATGAATTTTCTCAGAGGAAGGTGCAATTGTTGCATACACTAAAGAGGTGAGTGTTTGGTTTGGCAAAATTGACTGCTTGCTGACAATAGTATGGGAGCATGACTAATAAATCTAATGATTATGCTACTTAGGCCCACCCTGGCATTTCAGAGGATAGAATTTACCATTTATTTTTTTGATAGGTTGAGTCAATATATATTACTGATCCAGATCTTCACTCAAGATCTCTCTCTTATTCTCTATACCTTGCAATTTGTGTGTGTGTGTGTGTTTTGAAATTGGTTGATTGTAAAGCCATTATTATTGTGAAGTCATTCTTAGACTTTGTGGGTTCATCTTCTCATCACCAGTTGCAATGAAGTTCTGAGGAAGAAAAGAAAAGAGATTTGATTTGGTGTGGTAGGATAGTAAATAGATGGTTATGACAAATAGAATTTTGATATGATTTGGTCAAACTTAAAATTATAAATAATATTAATTTCAATCATAAACTAATAAAACATCACGTTTATTATATACAAATATTCTGTATATACCATTGACTTTTCTGTTAGTTCAGAAATTATAATTTTTTGGTTTTTTTTTTAGTAGCAAACAGTGTGGTTTTTTTTTTGGGAGGGGGGGGGTTTGTTTTCTTAATTTTATGTATTTGTTTAAAAAAACAATTCAGCATTCTTAAAATCTGTTGTTTTTTTAAAATAACAGCATTAAAATTTATTTTTTTAAAAAAAGTATTTTTTTTTTGCATTTTTATTATTTTATTTTTTATATTAATAGTTTATTAATATTTTTATTTGTATATATCAAATCTTTTTTTATTGTAAGTGTTCAAAGAGTATGGGTTTGTATTTTGATATTTTGGGTGTACACTGTGAAGTATACATTTTATTTTCTTCATTAAAAAGAAAACAAAAAGTTTTATTATGTTATTAGTTTCCTTGGGAAAAAAAATAAACTATTACTTTTCTTAGTTTATTTGATCTATTTCACTGTAATTGTTATTTTTTTTTTTTATGTAAATCAAATCTTTTTTTATTGTAAATATTCTTTTTGTGTGTGTGTGTGTGTGTGTGTGTGTGTGTGTGGCTACTATAAGTATTGTAAGAGTATTAGGTTTGGGTTAGGCTTTTGATTTTACAATCTAGATTGAATGATATTGATAGTTTATTCTGTAAAATCTATTGAAACGAGTATCCATATACAAAAACTAAGTTTATTGAACAATGAAATTCATATCATTGGGTTACATTTATCTTATAAAATAAATAAATTTCTATATTAATAGT